ACCAGTCGGATGAAACTCTGGCCCAATGCGCGCCCACGCAGGTCGACACGCCTACCCAGCGTTCTCAGCTCATGTTGATCGAGAGCTTGACGCCCTGCTCGGAAACGTACGCGCAGGCTGCTGCGAGGCTGCTGTTGCCGACGCAGCCTGGGCCGCATCGGCGCTCTCCTTATCCTTACTAGCTCGGCGGTGGTGTTCGCATTGCAAAGCAGGCCGCGTGGAGGAGGAGGATGAGGAGGAGGAGGAGGAAGAGGAGGAGGAGGAGGGGGAGGGGGACACCAGGACGAACGCTGTCAGGAGGACCGCCACGACGAGCACTTCGTTTTGTTCTCGCTTCCTGTCGTTTGTGTTTCGCCGTCGTTTCCGCCCTCGTTTTCGCCTTCGTTCTCGCCGTCATGCCGCTTTCCTTTCGCTTTCGTTTCCGCTTTCGTTCTCGGCTTCATTTCGTTTCGCCATCGTTTGTGTTTCGCCCTCATCTTCGTTCTCGCCTTCGTTTCGCTTTGATTCCTGTCTCGCTCTGCCTTTGCGTTCGCCTTCGTTTCGTTGTCGTTTCGCCTTCGTTTTCGATATCGCGTTCGCTTTAACTCTCGTCTTCGTTTCGTTGTCGTTTCTCTTTCGTTTCCGCTCTCGTTCTCGCTTCCGTTCTCGCCATCGTTTCGTCTTCGTTTGTCTTTGTGTCAGCCCTCGTTTCCGGCTTTCGTCGTTTCCGCTCTCGTTTTCGCCATCGCTCTCGCCTTCGTTCCACCGTCGTTTTGTGCTCGTGTCAGTCTCGTTCTCGCCTTCGTTTCGCCTTCTTTTGGTCCTCGTTTCTCTTTTCGTTCCGCCTTCGTTCTCGCCTTCGTTCCGCCCGGTTCCACCAAGACCAAGTGCGTCTTGGCCCATCGAGACCGCAGGTCTCGGCAAATCACCCACATTTCCCCAAACCAAGCGAGTGTTCCCAAAACAAGCCACCAAGCTTTCCCAAACCAATCGGGTCTTCTCGAACCACGACCCCGGGTCTTCCCAAACCAACCAGGTCTTCCTAAACCAACCGCGTTTTCCCAAACCACAACCCCAGGTCTTCCCAAACCAACCGGGTCTTCCCAAACCAAGCAGGCCTTCCAAAACCCCAACGGCCGGGTCTTCCCAAACCAACCAGGCTTTCCCAAACCAACCGGGCCTTCCCAAACCACAGCCACGTGCTTTCCCAAACCAACTGGGTTATCCCAAACCACACGGCCAAGTCTTCCCAAACCAACTGGGTCTTCCCAAACCAACCGGGTCTTCCCAAACCAAATGGGTCATCCCAAACCAACCGGGCTATCCCAAACCAACCGGGTCTTCCCAAACCAAGCAAGCCTTCCAAAACCACAACGGCCGGGTCTTCCCAAACCAACCGGGTCTTCCCGAACCGCTGCCACGTGCCTTCCCAAACCAACCGGGCTATCCCAAACCAAACGGCCAAGTCTTCCCAAACCAACTGGGTCTTCCCAAACCAAATGGGTCATCCCAAACCAACCGGGCTATCCCAAACCAACCGGGTCTTCCCGAACCAAATGGCCGGGTCTTCCCAAACCAAACGGGCCATCCCAAACCAACCGGGTCTTCCCAAACGGGCCTTCCAAACCAACAAACCGGGCCATCGCAAACCAACTGGGTCTTCCCTAACCAGCCGGGTATTCCCAAACCAAACCGGGTTTCCTCAACCGGAACCCCGGGTCATCCCAAACCAAGCGGGTCTTCCCAAAGAAACCGGGACATCCCAAACCGAAGCCCCAGGTCTTCCCAAACCAACCGGGTCTTCCCAAACCAAACCGGGCCTCCTCAAACCAAACCAGGTCTTCCCAAACCAAGGCCAGGTCTTCCCAAACCAACCAGGTCTTCCCAAACCCCAAGGCCAGGGCCACCCTAGCCAAAGTTTGGTTTGGGAAAGCCCGTTTGGTTTGGGAAAGACGCCCCTCCCGGGGGGCCCCTCTTGGGGCCCCCTTGGAGCCCTCTGGGGCCCCCTTGGAGCCCTGGGGGGCCTCCTAAAGGGCCCCCGGAAGATTCCAGGAAGGCCCCAAGAAAGGCCCCAAGAGGGCCACCCTGCTGTCAAGATGGCGGCCCTCGTCCTTGACAGCAGGGGTGCTCCTCTCGAGGCCCTCTTGAAACCCTCTTGGGGCCTTCTGGGAGCCCTGGGAGGCTTCATGATGCGTCCCAAGAAGGCTCCAGGAGGGCCCCAAGAAAATAAAGGCCCCAAGATGGCGCCCCTGCTGTCAAGATGGCGGCCCCCGTCCTTGACAGCAGGGGGGCTCCTCTCGTGGCCCTCTTGGAGCCCTCTTGGGGCATTCTTGGAGCCCTGGGGGGCCTCCTAAAGGGCCACCAAAAGATTCCAGGAGGGTCTCAAGAAAGGCCAAAAGAGGGTCCCCCTGCTGTCAAGATGGCGGCCCTCGTCCTTGACAGCATGGGGGCTCCTCTCGGGGCCCTCTTGGAGCCCTCTTGGTGCCTTCTTGGAGGTCCCAAGAAAACTCCAGGAGGGCCCCAAGAAAGGCCCCGAGAGGGAGCCAATCGCAATGGCTTGAGCCAGGGGCTACGGACTCCTCCCCCCATATCTCTTTCGTCCTGCTGCACCCGCCGTAACTGTAGGATATCATTCCGTACGAACCCATCGGATCCCACCGTCTGTTGCCGTTTCGGGTCGTACTGCAGTCGCTTGCTGGACGGGCGCTGCGGTCATATTCTATTCTGGCTGCCCGTCCCCATCGGGCCCCAGCTGCGGGGCCCCGGATGCCCCTCACATGCGAATCGGTTCAGTCATCTCTGATGTGGGCGATCCACGGCAAAGATGAAGCCGATGCTCTGCGCGGCCGCATGGCTGATGGCACCGACGGGCACCGCATGCAGCGCCTCCTCACGGTATCGTCGGGCTGCTCAGGGATTATGACTTTCGACTTGTCTGCGAGGGTTGTTGGGACCATTTTGGGGTACTCGGTCGCGTCCGATTGGGTTGTCGAGAAGGACGGGACGGCCATGGAGGAAATGCTTCATAATGGACCTCATGCCCCATGCCATGCTTTTCATGACTGGTGCGAAGTACTAACACCTCGCGTCCGAGACCAGCTGTCAAAACTTCCGCTGACAGATGTCGACGCCAGGAGACGATTGATTCGATCAAACTCAACTCGGACCAAGAGGCTCTGGTGTTTGAAATGCGGGGGCTACTGCAGTTTATCTCGCACCCATGTCCAGTGCAGTGGGTTCCCATGCGTGCATGATTCCACTTTCGGCAGCCACGGCTCTCGAGAAGGAGAATGCTACAATGTACTATGGATAGGATTGCGGCAGCGACGTGATCTCTTGGACTGGCCGATTCAAAACGGGCGCCAAACATCATTGCGATTGAACCTGCTCTTTGGGCGAGCCCCCTCCCCCTCTCCTGCTCCTGGGCCCCATGTCCTTGTACTCCCCGTTCTCCCCCTTGCCTCTAATGCTCCTCCTCCTGGTAATTTCGATCGGCTGTTCAAAGATGTGGGCCCTGAGGGATGGGGCCCCAGGGTTAGGGATGTGCCTCGGGATGGGTGTACTTTATTGAAGGCCCTTCGTTCTTAGACCGCATCACTCAGGGCCACATCTTTCAACCGCCGACCCGAGGAACCCACGGTGATCTTCGAGTGCGTTCCGCAGCAAGGCGATGACGAGTACCAGCGGGGCTCTCGGGGGACACTGCTCGCTCGAACGCGTGACTCTGAACGACTGCGATAAAATGAGGAATTGGCAGAAGAGTACGAGTGGGCAGCTTCGAGAACAGACGTGAAAGCGAGGCACCGAGCAGGCGACGCGTTCAACGACCCGCACGGCTCGTGGGAGTATGCTTTGACTTTGACCGAACGTGAGCGGCTCGAACAGTTCTCGAAGCAGCTGCCCGGCCGCAATTGGGATCTGGGGCAAACCATCAAGAAGCAAGTGAACAGCCCAGTCACGGGCCCCTTACATCTCTGCGCAGGGGGATTGGGATCACGTGGATGGCTGAGCTCAAGAGGTGGCTGACACCAGTCGAGACGTTTTCTGTCAATGGGCTTCCCAGGGACCCCAGAAGCTGTTAGGATGTATCACGGTGTTGGCTGCCAACTCACCAGGGGTTCTACCAACTCTTTTCCTTATCGCACGCGGAACTCTATGCTCTGCGAGCTAGGCAATGCAATGCACGTTAATTCAATCGGGTCAGTTGTGTTCGCCATTGTTTGTCGTTGTCGATGGTTGCTGGTAGTGCACTTGCCGGAGCAGTCTGGTGACGTCGCATTCCTGGCTGCCCCTTGCCCGCGCATCGACTATGCATTGACCCCTGCTTCGGTTCCAGAGGAGGCCGAGGCAGCTGCCGAAGTCGCCAGGAAGCGCGCTCGGGCGATCAAGCGCCAGAGGTCCGTGTGAGTGAGCCCTCGGCCCCAAACGTGGACGAGGCCCACCAGTGAGGAGTTGAGTGGATGGAGAAATGCCGATGCGAATAGGAGGAGGGCGGCGGGTGGGAGAAGGAGCGGAGGAGGGCGGCGATAGGGAGGATAGTGCTTCGCTTGGAGGTGGCTGGCGGGCAATACAGGTCTGCTGGCTGCCCTGGAACGCTCGGCTTTCGGATCGTGCGTCCTAGTCTAGACAAGTCGGTTGGCCCCCCGCCTTGGCAACTGACAAGGAAAGTGCACCTCTATCCAGCCCTCATTCAACGCGTTTCCATCAGTCGGCTGCGCCGTCTGTCCATCCCTCCTCCTCCCCTCCCCTGCTTTGTCTCCTTCCACCTCCTCCTCTATCTCTCATCTCTCCTTCCTTCTCCGTCTTCTCCTCCTCCATCTCTCATCTCTCCTCCTCCCCTCCTCCCCTTCTCCTTTTCTCCCTCCTTTTCCTCCTCATCTTCCCGACCTCTATCCCTTCCTCTCGTCCGTCTCCTGATCCTCGTCCTCCTTCGCCGCTGATGCGTGCTGCCCTTCTCGGCCCCTGCTCGTTGCTGGAGCCCCCCGCCCGCCAGGTCTCGGCCGTGACGCAGCTGCGGCGGCCTCGACGTCGTCGGACCCGGTCGCCGCGCTGACCGCCAGCCTTAAGGCTGCGGGAGACGGGGGTGGAGGTGGAGGTGGAGGTGGAGGAGGCCACGCTTTTGGACTTCCAATGTCGAAGTGAAACGCCTGACGTTTGAGCAGGCGTTGTCCTTCCTCGAGGCGGGTCAGTCTTCAAACGTCCGCTAGCGAACGTTTGGTCGGCTGCTGACCCGCCTCTTGGGGGCTCCACGCGAGCTCGAATGTCAGGGCGCAGACATTCCACATCGCGCCCTTTACTTACTGCCGTGATCCCTTGATCCAGCTCTTGCCCACTACCAGGTGGTTGGCCTCAAAAAGCTTCAGGTGGCAGGAGAGTTTTTCAGAACCATTCTGTGGCGTTGGGTCCTCGTTATGAAGAGACAGCGCCCCGCGTCTCACCTCCTCCTCCTCCTCCTCCTCCTCATCCTCCTCCTCCTCCCGCTGCCCCCTCCCTCCTCCCCCTCCTCCCTCCTCCCGCTCCTGCGTCTGCTCGCCGCATGTCCACCATGTCGGAGCACCCCTCGCGAGGATCGTGGCCCTATAGGGAGCTCCACCGAAGGCCCCAGCGGCAGGGTTTGCATGCGCCCCCCCGCCCATTTCGGCACACCTTCACGAGGGTCGTGGCCCCATAGGGGGTTCCACCGAGAGCGGTACGCACAACGCGGTACTCACAGCTGCATGTGGTTGGTGTTTGCGGGCCGACATTAGGAATTAGCCTTCATTTCTTGCTTGAATGGCCTGTATTGGCCTTCTGTCGGCTCTCGAGGCTTGGCCCCCCCCCCTCTCCCGATAGGCTGGGGCCACTGACCAATTTGGGTCGCCCGGCGCCTTCGACGGCGGCCTCTCCAGCTACGAGAGCCTCCACCCGGGCAAGGACGGCGCCGTGCTGCGCGCGCAGGCGCCGCCATTGGGCGGCCCAGGGGCGGGCTCTGGTGCGAGCCGAGCGAAGGGGCCGGGAGCGAGGAGAGGCGGTCCCCCGCGGCTGCTCTGGATGATGCCAGACAGCACAGAGGGGTCGGTTGCGAGGCCCTGACGAAGGGCCCAAGGGGCCCCAATCAATTTCAGTAGGCTTTGAAACGGGTGCGAGACGGACCCGTGAAGGGCCAGCGCGCGTTCAGACGGACGCGGTCATCTGAATTTTGTTTTCGCGGTTCTGAGCTGGCCCTGAGACCCCTGGGAGGCGCCGAGCCATTTCGCAGATGGCCCTGGCCCTGAAGCGCATCAGAGGCCCTCGAAAGCCACCCAGCCCAAAGGAGGCCCTCAAATGCCTAACCCAACCGCTGCCGATATCACGGTTATGGCCGTCTGAACATTTGAAACCGTTTCGCCTTCCCAGTATGCGGGCTTGGATCAAGATACTCGGACTGAGGCTTGTTCACATTCGAGGCATCCTGATCCACCCAGTGCGGGCATGTGTCAAGATGCTCGGAATGAGTTCACATTCCAGGACACGGTAGTGGACTGAGGCGTTTCCCGCGTTCCAGGTATCTTGATCCACCCCCGTCGGTCCTGAGATACTCAGATCTAGGCGTTTCACATTCCAGTTATCTGGAGTCCTTTTGGGCTAGGCCGTCGTCTCATTCCAAGTGTGTTGGTTCACGCGCTGCGGGTTTGGATCAGGATACTCGGACTGAACACACACACCCCAAGATCCCAGGTAACGAAACATGTTCAGATGGCCGCCACCGTGATACCGGTCGGCTGAAAGCGCCAGAGCCACCCTCTGCAGTTCAATGCTGACTACGTCCTCCCGTGGCCAGGAACGACTCAACCCTTCTTGCACGAGGACGGGACCAAAGTGTTTGTGCGGGACAGGATCAACAACCGCTAGCAGAGGGCGACCAGGCGCTATTACAAAAAGCTCGGCCTGGCGAAGGGGGAGAACTGGGAGGACCGCGCAGGGGACATCATGGTCGTCCCAGACCAGCTGGACCCGCGGAAATGGCAGCTCCACGTGCTGTGTGTGTGTGTGTGTGTGTGTGGGTGGGGGGGGGGCGACGCTCATCGAAGCGTGCTATGATATGATCCAGCAAGTGGAGGACACGAAGCAGCCCAACGAGTAGGTCCGACTGCTGATCGCGAACCAGGTTCCCCCTGCCAGCGACTTAAGAAACCTTCCCCGGGGCGGGCGGGCACGTCGGCCGTCGGGCGATGGGGGGGAAGGAGGAGGTGGATGGAGGTCAAGGGTTAAATGAGCGCCGAGTCGGAATCAGAGGAACGAGGAGGAAGATGAATATGGGAGAACGGGGGATTCTGGGGTGGCGGTCTGGGGGGCCGACGCGCGGCGCGATTGACTTCCGAGGTGCGCGTTGCAGCGCGGGTGGGGGTGAGAAGGAGGGCCTGGTAGATCGAAAGAGAGCGGGAAAGAGGGAGGGAGGGAGGGAGGGTCGGAGAGAGAGAGAGAGAGAGAGAGAAAAAAAAAAAACGAGAGAAAGAGAGAGAGAGAGAGAAAGAGAGAGAAAGAGAAAGAGAGAACCAGAGACAGAGAGAGAGAGAGAGTGTGTGAGGGACAAGGGACAAGGGACAACCAAGGTCTAGCATCCGAGGACGGAAACTAGCCGAACAGACGTGGATGAGGCCGAGCCTCGGGGAGGCGGCGCAAGCAAGTCCCGCACCTCCCTTACAAGCGCGCACGGGCGCGCCGAGCCGCACCCAACACCCAGTCCAGCGCAGTACCGACGCTAGGCGACGGCCCTACGCTGGAGCGGGCGGTGGGCGCGGCTCACGTCCAGCCAGCACCTCGTCCCTGAACCAGTCATGGCCCGAGGACGCAGCGCCAGAGCACGGGGCGAGAAGCTTCCGCCAGCTCAGCGCTTCGATCAGACAGTGCGCCGCACAGCGGCGGCAAATCAAGTAGCGGCCAGACGCCTGCACGACATGGCCCTCATAAACGAAGGTGTCTGGGGGCTCCATCGGGGCCTCAGCGGAGGCCTCGAGCCCCAGCGCCCTGAGGGTATCCTGGACGGCGGCACATCGCGCCCTGGGAAGGACGCCTCCACGCCGCCAGGCGCGCACGGCTGAGAGAAACAGGTGGAGGGGAGACGGGGCGCATCTCGCGCCAGGCTGCTCGAGTTTCTTCCTGCTCAAGGCCGTCCGCGCCGAGCAGTGACACCACGTGCACCTCACCGCCTCAGAAACCCCCTTCCACCAGCTCCAAATCGTGAGAAAGCAAAGCGAGTTTGGGGATGCCGTCCCCTCTCACCCGCGCGGGTGTGGGCATGTCTGGGGCTGCGGCAGCAGCTTGCTGCGCCGACCGCGAAAGGAAATCCAATGTCTTATAGCAATCCTTGATCTTCTCGCGCAGCAGCGAGGTGACCAGCTCAGGCAGCTTGTGTTCACTCGCCCCTAGCCGCGCAAAGAAGTCGGCCCAGGCGTTCCCAATGCAATCGACGACACTACGTCCAACGGCATCCCAGGAGAACGCCTGGCCCTCAAGGACCGTAAACAAATCCTGGTGGGCAGGGGTCCAGCGGAATACAGGCCGCTCAGACCTGCCCCGATACAAATCAAAAACTTGCCTCCAGACAGAGGCATGAGTGCCTCTGCCAGCGGCCAATCCAGGGTCCCAAGAGCTCCCCTCCTTGACCGCCGACAGATGATCCGAAACAACTTCAAGGCCCCACGGCCCAACCTTCAAAGCATGGAGGATAGCCTGGCGTTCGGCCCTCGGGACCGTCTGCACAGGCCCCGCAAGGGCCCCAAACTCGGCCTTCACAAGCCATCCCCCAGGGGAAAGGGCCACGACCGACCAGCCACATCGAGTGGCCTCTGGGGTTCCCGACGCCAGGCCACTCCCGTCGGTGTACACACGAAAGCCCCAAGGTGCAGACACAGCACCCCAGGAAAAGACTTTCGTCTGAGCAGCGACTGCAGGGATCTCGACAGGGAGAGAAGGCAAACCATAAACCAACTCAGGAGTGACGAAGTCGGGAGGGATCCCATACGCTTGCTCTTTCAGCCAGTTCCTATGCTCAAAGCACGAGTCTGGCATGGCAGGGCTAGCATCTGGGTCGTCACTCGCCGCCCAGAGCCCTTCGCGAGAGAGAGAGAGTGTGAGAGAGAGAGAGAGAGAAAGAGAGAGAACAAGGCGCGGGAGCAGCGCGGTAGGGGGGAGGAGCGTGTTTCTTTATGTTCGGCGATGACGGGCGTCATGGGGGGGGGGGAGGGCAGGGGGGGTATGACGTGACGCCCCCCCCCCCGCCGCGTGGTTCCGGCACCACAGCCGCGCCCGCGCGCACGACGCGACGAGCGACGAGCGACGAGCGACGAGCGACGACGACGACGCGAGCAGTGCCCTCCCCAGTGCCCGGAGCGCACTGGGGGGGGAGCGTTACGTCATGGGGGGGGGGGAGCGGGGGCCATGACGCCCGTCATGCCCCAAGCAATAAAGAAACGGGCTCGGGGGGAGAGGGAGGGAGCGGGAGAGGGAGGAAAGGGCGAGAGGCCAGAACGCCCCCCCTAACCGTGCGCGGCGCCGCCTGGGGGGGGGAGACAAAAAAAAACGGCCAGACTCCCTCCCTGGCATTTTTTTTGTTTTGCTCCCCCCCCAAGAAGCGCTCCTCGTCGTCTGGTCCGTTCGTCCTTTCGTTCGTCGACGGCGGCGCGCTTGCGGTGGCCCTGACGGCATCTGTTTCAGACTGGTGGCTCCTGTGGAAGAACCCCGGTACGATGCCCTGTCTATTTCTGGGGTGCTCCGGTGATGGGCGAGGTCATGCTTGGAACTGTTTGTCAACGAATGCTCCTGCTTGGCATTGGTTGGTGGCGCTTGGCATTGCATGCTTGTGTTTGGCTTTGAATTGTCGTGCTCGGTTTTGCTTCGCCTTGGTTACTCATGATTGGCATTGCTCAGCATTGCGCGGTTGTGCGTGGCACTGAATAGTCAAAATTAGCATTGCGTGGCACTGCTTGGTCGTGTGCGGCATTGGGCAATCGTGCTTGGCATTGCGTGGCATTGGTTGGTTATGCTTGGCGTTGCTTGGCCGCGCATGGCATTGGATGGTTTTGCTTGACATTGCTTGGCTTTGATTGGTCATGTTTCGCGGTGTTTGGCAATGAGTGGTCCTGCTCTTGCCAATGCCTGGCATTGGTGGGTAACGCTTGGCATTGGATGGTCGTGCTTGGCATTGGTTGGTCGTGCTTGGCGTTGCTTGGGATTGTGTGGTCATGCTTGGCACTGCTTGGCATTAGTCCGAAGTGATGTGTATTGGTCGGCCGTGTTTGGCATTGCTTTGCATTGGTTGGTCGTGTTTGCCGGTGCTTGTCAATGAGTGGTCCTGCTCTTGCCATTAGTACTGAACATTTACCAAACACATGTACCAAATAATCCTTGGTAAGGAATTTGTACGGAAGAATCGCTGGTAAGGACTAGTTACTCTGGAATCCTTAGGAATTTTAAGTCAGGAATTCTCACTAAGGAATCCTTACTTAAGATTCGCGACTAAAGAGTATGTAGTAAGGAAGATGTACTCCGAAATCTTAATTTAGAATCTGTACTAATGACTATGGATCAAGGAATCATTGCTACGGAAGATGGACTAAGGAATCTTTGCTAAGGAATATGTAATATGGAATATGATTTCAGGAATCTGTCTTAAGGTATCCTTACTAAGGAACCTTTACTCAATAATCCTTACTCAGGCATCCTTAATACGGAATCTTCACCGAAGAACCCATGCGATGGAATCCTCAATAATGAGTCCGTAGTAAGGAATAGGTATGATAGAATCCTTCCCCAAGGATCGATGTCAAAGGATCATATGTGTGAATCCTTTTTAAAGGAGTTCTCCATACGGAATATGCATTAATGAATCCGTACTAAGGAATCCTGTCTAAGGAATCCATCCTTGCTTAGGAATGGTCATTAAGGAATCCGTCGTAAGGAATCTGTAGTAAGGGATATGTACGAAAGGAACCTATTATAAAGGAACATGTATGAAGGAATCCTACATCAAGAGCCCCTACGAAGAAATCCGTAGTGAGGAGTTCGTACGAAGGAAAGCTTAATGAGGAATCATCAGTGAGGAATCATTTTAACAAATGAATCTGAACGAATGAACCCTGATTAAGGAATATTTAGCAAGGAACCTCGATGTAGGAATATTTACTAAGGATTCTGTATAAAAAGAAAATGTACTGAGGAATCTGTATTACGAGCACATTCTTAAGGAATGTTTACTCCGGAATCCTTGCTAGGGAATCCCGACTAAGGAATCTGTATTAAGGAGTCCTTGGAGACGGCGGAAGCCGCACGCAGGCCCTGCCGACCCTGAAGGAGACGGCAGACGCCGCGCGCAGGCCTTGCCGACCTCCACAATCCCAACGAGCTCCAAACGCTGTCAAGATGCTGCCAAAAATGTGCTCGGCGCCAGGGCGAACAAAAACATGTTTGAAAACAATATGCGCGGCGCGGATGCGAGAATGTAATTTGCTGCCGAAGCACGTGCCCCAGACCGCCACCCCAGAATACCCCGCCCTCGAGAACGGAGGTGAGGGGGCCGAGAGGGGAGGTGGGGAAAGGGGGCTCCTCCTGGGGCCCATGGGGCCGCAATTTGCAAAATATATTGGTTTCGGCCTCCAGGGGTGGTGACCCCGACGTCCCTGATGGTCATTGCGTCCGTCCACCCCTCCTCGCCCTCACGGCCGACCCTCCCTATCCTTCCTCGGGGAGAGGGATCTGGGGGGCAGTCCTGAAGGGGGGGGGCAGGAAGCTTAACTTTTCTGCCAGGTGCCCCGCATCGTGCTGTTGACCCCCCAGATCCCAGTAGACGCGCAGATCTGGATCAAGGTCCAGTGCAACTCCATGGTCGCGGTGGGATCTTCCACGTCCTTCGTCGAGAGGCTTGAGATTACACTACACCAGTGATTGCAGCGCACTGGGTGAAGTTCCTCAAGGATGAGCGAGATGCTGCTAAGAAACGGTCTGCCGATGAAGCGCAGCTGGACGTTGCAGATGCGGGCTGCTCCGGGAACAAGGATGACGATGGCAACGGCAGCCGCTTCAAGGGCTTCGAGGCGAAGTACAACAAATCCATCAAGGAGGACTACAGGGAGATGTTCGACGGGCTTGAGGATTTCAAGCGGGCAGCTTTGTTCAAGAAGAGGTGCGACGCTTTGCAGATATGGGACAGGCTAATGGACTGGTGGAGAGAGTTCGTGGTGTTCGAGGAGCGTCGCATGAATCCGAAGGTCATGTTCCTCGTGTTCGACAAGATCGGGGACGTGTTGGCCAAGGGCAGCTACCACGGGGCCTTTGGCGATGCGATGTTCGAGGTTCTCAGGTACGCGGTGCCCACCGTCTTCGAGCCCCAGCCCAAGGATGACGATGACGATGGGGAGGCGGACGTCGCGCAAGAAATTGCTACTGACGTGGACTACGTGAACCACCCGGACCGCGACGTGCGCTGGATATTGCAGAAGACTTCTGATTGTAAGCGCCTGGTGCAGCTGACCACTCCGATGGCCGACTCTTCCATCTTCAAAGATGCGCTGACGACGGTGGCAAACCCGAAGGCAAAAGGCAAGGCTAAGCCGAAGGGGTCTGCTAAGGCCGCCGCCGCACCAGATGCCGTGGTACATTGCACGCAGGCGGAATTAACAGTCCGCTCGACCATGTTCCTGGATGACGTGGTGAACGCTGTTGTCCACCCAGTGCGGAAGTTGGACCGTTCAGATTGGAATACTTGTGAACTCCGCCAGATGGTGAGGTTCGGAGTTCGCCTGGGGATTAAGCTCCAGTCGGAGAAGGGGAAGGTTATGTTCCAGTTCGGCGACAGAGACTCTGAGGATGAACACTTCGCACTGTGGAAGATGTTGTGCCCTCGCATCATGGATTGCATTTACGACGTGCACGGCGAGCCGTTGGAGAAGCCCAATCCCGAGGGTGATGAAAAAGATGATGTGGCGTCTACACATACAAGTGATGATGATATGGCTTCATGTTTGGCTTCGCTCAACATGGCAATCGGCAGCGACGGCAAGAGTCTGACGAGGACTAAGAAGCTGGTCGCCGACTTCCTCACCGACAACCCTCCCTTGCAGAGTCTGACGTACCTCGAGCAGACGCACGTTGTCGTGACCAGGATCAGCTCGACTCTCTTGCGCTCGAAGGGCAGGGTGTACCCAGGAGACGACCTTCAGGCCACATGTCGAACTAGTGTCTCGGATGCTTTCAAAGTTCTGGATATGCATACGCCGTCGTGCTTGTATCGGATTTCTGGTTGCATTTTGACGCTGCTCGATCATATAAGTGATAACAGGGACTGGGCGTCATCAAACATGGCACCTCTAAGCTTAAACATCTTTCGAAAGTGCTGGGTCCTGGGGTGCTTTCGTTTCTGACCCCCTGGTCGGTTGTCCGTGTTTTGGGGTCGGCCGTCGTGTTTGATTTCGCCCTCTGAGGACAAGAACGCATGGGTCGATGAGAAGCGCAAGGTTGACAAGGAGAGTACCGTGCTGACCATCCGGCTCCAGTCGGTCGACGCCTCCTTGGCCCAATGGGTGGCTGAGCTCTGGGCTGACCAATCCGATGTCGTAGCTACCAACCGCACGAGGTTCCTCTACATTCAGAAGGCATTGAAGCTGATTGCAGAGAGCGCGCAGTTCGGCAGCGAACCCATCAAGCAGTACATCCTCAATGGGATCGAGTTCGGGGCTGCCGTGGAGGCCGACATTTTCGGGTACGATAGCGTAGAGAACGAGAACCACTCCAGCGAGACATTGTGGATCAGGGTGTTCGAGATTGCCGAAATCTTGAAGGGCCGAGTGGTGAAGAAGCCCGTCGTTGCAATGTTGCGGACAGCGGTGGCGTTTTAATCCCAAGGGGGAGGAGCGAAGGAGGAGTAGAAGGAGGGGGAGGAGCCCGGGGAGGAGAAGATGATGATGATGATGATGCTGATGATGATGATGATGATGATGATGATGATGATGATGATGATGATGATGATGATGATGATGATGATTATGATCATGATGACGATGATGATGATGAGAGAGAGAGAGGAGGGAGCAGGAATATTGGAAAGGACACGAGAAAGAGGAGGAGAGGGGGACGACAAGGACGATTGGAGGTCGAGAGGCAGTGATTTTGACACCGCCCGAAGGAGCCGCGAAGCGCAGGTCAAGTCCAAGATCGAGGGCATGAAGAAGACCGACATCGTGCAGGCACTGCAGATTTGAGTTCCCTGGTGCAGTGCCCGAGGGCGTTGATACCTTGGTCATGTCAATGGTGATGCAGTTATTGCTGCAGGAGCGGCTCAGACGGATGGATGCCCAAGAGCTTGCGGCGCTGCAAACATGGAAGAGCTTACTCTGCTTGGGTTTCGAGGAAGGCGCCGACGCGCTTCGGAAGAAAGCCTCTGCCGTGGCCCTGACACCTGACCGCTCCAGATGCTGAGTCCAGCCCCGGCAGTGACAATGCTGGCGCCGAGACGGCCGAGACGCTGTCCGCGCAGCCTCAGAGCACAGTGGTTGTGGCCTTGGAACAGTGCACTCAGGTAGAGATCAACGGCAAGGAATACTTCATCCTCTTCAAGGGTATGGGGGCTTGTGACATGTCGCGCCGCCTGTGGAAGTGCGACGAGGCGAGCCGCTACCTGACGCATGCTATCATGGAGGAGTGGCTATTCGGTTGCGGGCCTGCCATTGCCAAACCAGTGGGCGGCTCCAATGGCGGCGACGACGATGCCACCGCGGTGCCGCCGACGCCGAAGAAGCCCAAGACGAGGGTCACAGGGAAGACCAAGCCTGCGGCGATTGCAGCGAGGGATGAGGACGCGATGGCGGAGACCGCGGCTGAGAAGGTGGAGGTGGTCGTCGAGGACGAGAACGACGAGAACGACGAGAAGGAGCAGCCCGCGAAGCCGATCTGTCTCCTCGACGTGGGCCTTGACTTTCTGGTGCGCCCGTCATCCCAGATGTCAGCTGGCAGGCCCGGCGGCGGAGTGAAGCTCTACTTCTACAGGACGCGTGATGCATGCGGGTCCATGGAGGAGAAGCTCAAGCTTGATTCCGCAGGCAGGGTGGTGATATACCCTGGCGCCTTCGTTGGAGATGGAGCGCGCGTCGCAGCAGGCCGCGTGCACATTGAGCAGCAGGAGCTCAACATCTTCATCGTGCCGAACATGAACTTCAAGGACCCCCGCGGCACCATCAGCGTCCCCGCCTGGAGCGTGCCAGTCGTGGCGGGCAAGGCGCATAGGGAGGGCGACATGACCATGAAGGTGGGCACTTACACGCAGGTGATCAAAGACGTGCCTGGGGTGGACGGCGGCGCCGTAATGCTGGACCGCAGCTTCTTGACGATCAGGCCGAGGGCGGAGCTCTTGGCGATTCAGCAGCGGAAGAGCGCAGGGCTCCTGGCGGCGGCTGCGGGCACCGGCGGGGAGCAGGCGAAGGACTTCGCCCCGCTCGAGCTGGAGCCCCTGACTAGGCCGAAATTCCAGTGGGGGTTCAAGGCCGCGGTCCAGGAGGACGAGAAGGCCCGCAAGGCGCTTGACAAGGTGGGCCAACCAATGTCAAACGCAACGGCAGATAGTATCGTGGAAGGACGAGGGGAGTGAGGGAGGGGGGGAGGAGAAGGAGGAGGGCGAGAGGAAGGATGAGGGATGAGTGGAAAGAGGAGGAGGAGGTGGAGGAGGGAGGGAGGGAGGAGACACCAGGATGGATAGAGAGAATGAAGAAGGGGTGGAAGCCCTCCGTCCATCCTCCTCCCCTCCATCCACTCTATGCCTCCAGCCCTCCGTCCATCCTCCTCCTTCATCCACTCGATGCCTCCGTCGTCCCTTCCCCTCCTCCTTCAGCCCTCCACCCCGCCACGTCCTTTCCCCATCCTCCCTGTGTCTCTCCTGCATCTCTCCCCACTCTTCTTTCCTGCCTCCCGCCTCCCTCCCTCCCACCGCCCCCCTTCCCTTCACCTCCTCCTGGGGGAACCGAAAAGCAGATGCCGATGCCGCAACTCCGCGGACCTTTCCAGGGGTGCGTTCTGATGAGATTTCCAAGCGAATCCAGCCGAAGCCACGAGGGACAAGTAGCGGCATCGGTATCTGTTCCTCTTCTGATCGATGATCCTCAGAACGTGTGTTAGCACCGACGTGTGTTTGTCCACCGAGGCACTTCAACACGATGCGGGCGATTCAATATCGGCGGAGCCGAACGGGGTAAGCACACGGTTGGGCTAACACTCGCCCTGAGGATCATCGGTCTGACCTCCGCACCTTCCCCCCCATAGGCCAGGAGGCACGTCCTCGCGTGAGGGCTGCGAGGGCGCATCCGGGGGGCCTGCCTCTGGGCCCCGAGGCGCGTCCGCGCGTGGGGGTGCGCGGGCGCCTCGGGCAGCGGCCGCCCGCCAGCGAGCCGAGCACGACTCGTGGCCGAGCGTCGGCCCGCTTGATGCAGATGAAGGAAATGAGCAGCGCAAGGGGACAGGGGATCAGAGTTGGACTGAAGGTGCGAGGGAAAGCAACGAAGGATGATCAGGAGCACGACTAGGATGACCAGGAAAAGGAGGATGAGGGCTCGGCTACGCATGCGTTGCATATCTAATGGCCTTCGGAACAACCCGCCACCGATCTTGGTTCGGGAGATCTCATGGGGGCCTGAGTTGTTTGTTGGGCCCTGCTGAACCTCTTGGAAGGCTCTTCGGGGCATGGGGGTGAGGGCCCTTGGGCCCTTGGGCCCTTGGGCTTTTGGAGGTTTCTCGGGTCCTCTTTATGCACCTCGTTGTACTTCTGTGCTTCCAAAGCCGATTCGGGAGCTCGCGGCACCTGGTCTCGTGGCCTCTTTGGATAGCCGATGGGGTCCGTCGCGACTTGCCGCCGCGGTGACCTCGCGCTCGGGGCACCCCCGCGCCCAGATGCTTTTAGAGGCGCCCGTGGGGGTCTCGAGCGCTGCCCCCTCCCCCCACGCGTCTCGTTCTCGGTCAAAACGGACGATCGCCCGACTCCCAGTCGAAACGGAGCACCATGGGCGCACGCGGCCCAAACAGAAGCGGACACCCACCCCCGTGCTCACCCTTCGCCGTCCTTCTCCTCCTCGACCTCCTCTCCCTTCTCATCGTCCCCCTCCTCCTCCTCCGCCTTTTCTACTCCCATTACCCGTCGTGGTTCTCCTGCCCCTGCTCCTGCTCCTTTTCGTCCTCCTCCCCACTTTCCTCTTCCTCCTCCTCCTCCTCCTCCTCCTCCTCCTCCTCCTCCTCCTCCTCATCATCATCATCATCATCATCATCATCAAACTATGTTTGGCTTTCCTCCTCTTCGAACTGCTCTCCTCCTCCTCCCTCTGCTTCTTCGGGCTTAGCCACGACTGCATCCCCGCGGGGGCTGGCCGACAGGTAAGCTCAACGACTACCTGTAATCATTTCATCAGAATGAGGGGGCCGAACGGTCATTCACTGTCCCTGGGTGCGTGGCTGAAGTGGGATTCCGCGGTGCGGATTTTCGTTGTTGTTGTTGTTGTTGTTGTTGGTCTTGTTGTTTGTTGTTGTTTGATGTTGTTGTTTGTTGTCGTCGTCCCACCCGCGACCCACCCCGCGACCCACCCCGCGACCCACCCCGCGACCCACCCGCGACCCACCCGCGACCCACCCGCGACCCACCCGCGACCCAGCCCGCGACCCAGCCCGCGACCCACCCCGCGACCCACCCCGCGACCCCAACCACGTTCAAGGTACAAACCATCATTTTCGGCGCCTGCGGCGGGTTTTTTTGCATTCCTTCCAAGTGGAGAGCCCGCGACACACCCCGCGGCCAACTCGCGACCAACCCGCGACCCAAGCCACGTTCAGGGTACAAGCCACATTTTTCGGCGCCTGCGGCGGGCATCTTTTGCGTTCGTTTCAGGTGAAGAGCCCGCGGCCCACCCGCGACCACGTTCAGTGTGCAAACCAATTTTTTCGGCGCCTGCGGCGGGCATCTTTTGCATTCGTTCCCGGTGGAGAACCCGCGGCCCACCTGCGACCCAAACCACGTTCAGTGTACAAACCACTTGTTTCGGCGCCTGCGGCGGGCTGCTGTTGCATCCCTTCCAGATGGAGGTGGAGAGCCCGCGACCCACCCGCGACCCAAACCACGTTCACTGAACAAACCAATGCCGCACAAGGGCGGCGGCGGATTGTTGCATGCCGTCTGAGCCCGCAACGACCTATTCAAGCCCCGCGCATCCACACCAGCCCGTCCAGCAACTTCGCCCTGGCGAGTTGCCTTGATCAGAGAAGTCGGGGAGCATAACATGGAAAAAAGGATTGCGTTGCCGTTATCTTGGGAAAGGAGGGGGAGACAGGAGGAGTAAACAGGGGGCGAGGAGGAGGACGCGGAACAAGAGAGGATGTAAGGAGAATGTGGAGAAAGAGGAGGAGGAGGAGGAGGAGCAGGAGGACGAGGAGGGGGAGGAGGGGGAGAAAGGGGAGGAGGAGGAGGACGAGGAGGGGGAGGAGGAGGAGGGGGAGGAGGATGATGATGTACGACAATGGGAGGACGATGATGGAGGCCGATGAGGGGAAGTACGAAAATGGGAGGACGATGATGAAAGGACGAGGGGGGAGAGGGAGGACGAGGACGAACAGGCGGAGGAGGGCGAGGTGGAGGAGGAGGATGACGATGACGATGAGGACGAGGACGAGGACGAGGACGAGGAGGAGGAGGTGGAGGAGGAGGAGGAGGAAGAGAGCGCCATCGACAAGGAAGGTGGGGGCCGCGAGGTCCGCCGGCTCGACGACGCCCGCGTCGCCTGCGCCCGCCCCCTCACTCTTATCCGCAATTGCGGGGTGCTACGTATTTCATTTTCGCTCGACGCTGCCGGCTAGCCCAACAAGGCCCAACCGTCCGCCGCAGGGTGGTGTCTGCTGGACCACCCATTGGCCGCATTGCTGAGTCTGTTGCTGCTGCTGCTGCTGCTGCTGCTGCTGATGCTGCTGCTGCTGCTCCGCCTCCTCCAACCGAGGTTGCACTTCTCAACCAATCGCACCCACCGAAGACGGCCCCGACATCCTTCCGCGCATGCGCCATACCTCCAACCCTCCACCATTGTCACTATCCGAAGGCCCGTCAGCAATGTACCCGAGAGGCCCTGTACGCCAAATGTGGGACAGGAGTATCATTGAGACCGTCCGAAGGCCAACGTCTTATCTCAGAGAGGTTTGATCAGGCCCGGCCAGGCGAACTAAGGCCAAGGCAAATAAGGAGAGGGAGGGCCACATTAAATCACGTCAACCTTGCATGCCGTGCATTATGTTCACCCAGCAAAGCAACATTACGGCATGTGGAAAGAAGGCGGACTACTCTTGTATCGGGTCAATGTCACGTTGCGTCCTGACAGGTCAAGTCTCATGATTATTGTATTACTTTGAATTTCAAGCTGGATTGCACCAGACGGATGAATTCAGCTTAGGCCTGGCTTGATTGGACTGCCAACTGGACAAGCCAAGCTCGTTCCGATGCATACTGTTCTGTTTTGTTCGTGGAACGACGCTGCAGATACATTCAGACTGACCATGCTGTGGAGGACATCAAGACTCGTGGTGACTAGTGGTAGCAATTTGCACGTCGTGCTGGCTGTGCGACGCGCCCGACAACACTGGCTGTGCGACGCGTTCGGTAAAGAGGCAATATTTCGATATCCACTGGCGATGCCAAACGCGATTCCGAACTGTACATGGAATGGGCAAATAAACGAAACTTTGATACTCCGCGTGATGCACCGCGAAATCTGTGGACAATCTCGAGCTGCGGCTCGCCTGCATGCGTGCCGAACCCGCGAGATCGTCCTGTATTGCGAAAGCAATGCAGCTGATTGAATTAAGAAAGGGCCGCGCAATCAGGAACATGCGACCTGATGCTACGAACGCACCACATTACCTCTGGTACTGAAGAGTACGGCTAATGTGCAGACAAACGCTAAACACGATATGAACATGATACATGACGCGTCATGACATGCGGGGGTGACAGCGGAACAATGCAAGCCGTATCCTTGAGCAAATAGCGCCACGGGGGTGCAGAGGGCCCCTCAAGTCGAGCAGAGCGCGTTTCAATAGGGCGTTGCAGGCCGCACGGGCGGCAACACATTGCGTTATCCGCCCGAGTGGCCGTCGAGCACAATGAGGCGTGCAGCTCTGCACGTTTCTGGATAGTATTCGTCGAAGACCTACCCCTTACTCGCGGAGTGTCGCGCGCAGCAGCCCGCCCTTCTCCTTCTACTCGCAGACTCGCGGAATGTTGCTTGTATCGCCTCCCTTCCGCTGTCCTCTGGGGTCAGCGAATCTCTGGCGCTCTCCAAGGAGTCCGAGATGCCGAGGCAGGTCAAAATTACCGTGCTCAAGATTTCTCCAATCTTGCGCAATATGGCCACCAGATGGCACAAGATGGCTTCGAGACGACCGAAAAACGTCCCCAAACGGCCGAAGATGGCTCCCAGAGGACTGCCATCAGGAATTGAAGAGGCTCAATTGATGTTCCCTGCGATTGAACGATCTTCGCGTTGTTACCGTCCCAAGCTTCTTACAACTCCAGATAACACAAGAAGCCTCCCAGATGACCCCATGACAGCCGAAGACGGCTCACGATGGCCTCAGGACGGTCCACTAGACCTCCAAGCAAGGTCCGACAACCTAAGAGCCCCCCGGACAGCCAAAGGGGGGCCCCAGGCGCCTCCCCAGAAAACGCGCCAGAACCCCTCGGAATGCCAGTAGGACCCCAGGATGGCCCGGACTGCTCCAAGATGTCCGAACAGCGCCGCGACAAGGCACAAGAACGCTTCAGGACGACCAAAGATGGTCTCAAGAAACACCCGCGACTGCCTCGCAGGAGCCCCAAGCAACCTCAACACACTGCCGAAATTGCACCCGCGAGAGCTCATAAAAAATGGGGACGAAACATGTCTAACGTGGCGGCCTTCCGTGCGGCAATGGAAGAGTTGCAAGTTGCCACCGAGTGCTGCGCTGGCACGGTGGTGGGACTTGCCGCAAGCAGCTGGACACGCAGCCACCTGTGCTTGTCACAGAAATACTTGGCGAAACACTGTGCTTTAAACTTGTTCTTGCTATACTCGCATGATTCATTCCAATGGCCTTCGTCTCATGGAAACGACCACCCAGACATATCCACAACGCACCTTGTTCCGACTCGGCTTTGGAACACACGCATGTGGATTGCAGCCAAAGCTTATATGTAACATGCAACGCGCGGTCTTCCTCTGCAGACCGACGAACAACTCGCAAATCCGAAATTCTGACGACACCTGAGAGCCTTCAGCACCAGTGTGTGCTCCTCGCTGTAGTGCACAGAACATAATAAATCTACACACATATGTACAGAGAGAGAGAGAGAAACAGACAGAGAGACAGAGAGAAAGAGAGACAGAGAGGGAGAGAGCCGAAAAAGACAGAGAGAGAGCCGAAGAGAGAGAGAGAGAGAGAGATAGGAGGGGGAGGAAGAGAAACAGAGGGAACGCACATTCTGTCCCTCCTCCTTCTCCTTCTCCTCCTCCTCCTCCTCCTCATCATCATTATCATCATATGCCTTCCTTCTCCTCATCCTCCTCCCCCTCCTCTTCCGCCTCCTCCGGCTCCTTTTCCTCCGCTTCCTCCTCCTCCTCCTCTCCTCCTCCTCTTCCCCCCCGCCCCATGTCCCGAGCCCGTGGCAGGGCCATCATCTCGTCGTCGTCATCGTCGTCGCCTTCGTGGTCGAGGTGGTCCTTGTCGTCCCTCAGAGTCGGCGGCACTGGCCGTGGCGCCTCTACAATCCGCCACCGTGCCTTCGCACGCTGGGGAGTGTTAGGATGCGCTCAGTTTCCCTCTGGGAGTCTTTTCAATGTTTTCTAGGGCCGACCCC